TGACAGAGAGGGGAACACAAAAATGACTCATCCTGCAACTGAAAATATGGATGGAGGACCTCAGTTTAGCTTGTTTGTCGCGCTAGTGCCGAGCTAATACATATAAGGCAATATAGCATCTGCGCTAGAGCAACCAATATTTTATTTTACCAATAAACTGAAAGGGGACATCCACTTTTTTAGCCATTAAATAAATAAACAAACCTCTCTATCAAACTAGAATGGACCACTCTGGGAGCTGGAGGTGGGCGGGGAGTGAGATGCCTCATTTGAATTATAAGACACAGCCTCAAAACGAGTTGATCAGAGACACACCTCAGAAAAGGGGTGAAAGAGGGGCTTGTGGAGTTACATTAAGGAGGAATTCAGACCAAAGCATTGCAGTTCCACTTTATATAGATCCCAAATGAAGGATTTAAATGTGACAAAGAAGGATTTAAACACGATACTGTATGTCTCCTTTAATGTTGATCCTGTTACCCTCTGTAGAGAATCACTTTCTATAAAACACTTAACAAATGGCTCTGATGTCAGCTGCAAACCTAACTAACAAAAACACTTTGAAGCTAGTTTTAATGTTCAAACTGATCAATTTTATTTAGAAATAATTAAATACCTTTTTTTGCATTGTTTATATCTTCTTTCCCTTCACAGTGTTTTTACCCTCTGGTTACAGTTTTAAAGTGCCTGTGAAGTCAAATCTTTGTAATACATATGAATGCATTTTTAGAAAAAGGACATTGATAAAATATTGCAAAAAAATTTCATGTCGCTGAGATGAACAGTTGTTGAGATATTTGCCTGTGAAGTAACAGGAAGTGATGTCAAAGGGGAATGTCTGATTGTGAACAGAGCGTTGCTTCAACAGCCAACAACCCAGACTGTAGAGAAGAATCTGATGTTTCTTAAGATTATTTTGAGTCACTATCAGAAAGATGAAGAGTCAGGGTTCAAATATTGTTTCAATAAACAAAGACCAGAGAGTTTATTTACTTAAAGAGTTCCCCTTTGATGTCACTTCCTGTTTCACTTTGGCTGAGCCAAGTTCAAAAGAAAATATGCCATTTATGAGACAAAATGGGTTAAATTGTGTGTATTATTCCAACTTTCTTAAATATAAAGATGTTTTCTTTGACTTTTTGTATTTGAAGAATATGCMTGTCACAGGCACTTTAAAATATTAAACTCATTAAATTTTTTCTCTCATTTATGAAACTAACTTATGCATTGATAGATTTGCAAAAATGTCCCACGCACAAACGTCTCCAAGTGGTATTTCATGAAATTTAAAGATTAAATCAGATAGAATTACACATTTCACCAAAAAAGTTTGTGCTGAACTGTGTGTAATTTTTTAAAGATTTCTCCCTTTTTTAAGACCTTTCGCATTAGATTAACTTTGGCCTTTGTTACAAACTAAATAAAAGGCTATATGGTAACCGGTTTGTACAAAACCTGTTTAAATTACACCTCAATTGCAAACGCTGTGTCTTTACTGTAACAGAACGTTGTGGTTTTTAAGGCTTGTTTGCATAAAAAGCCATGCTTTTAATTTGAAACTTATTTCAAATGATGCTAAAGTATTTACACATTAGTAAATACCTTATTGATTTTAAAATACATAAAAAAATATTAAGTTTCTAGATTTGGTCTTGAATTTTTACGAGCAAATTAACAATGTTAATGTGGGAAAAAAAGTCCAGTGGGTTTTGATTTTCGACACGACTCCAACGACTTTACATTTTCCATGCTCTGAGTTCAAATCAGTAAAAGACTCTTTGAGTTGTTATTATTAAACATTAGATCAAACGTCATTGACTTTTTGTGTCCTGAAAGTCACGGTTGGKTGTCGGTTGCATCAGAGTTCAGGATGAGTAATCTAAGGCGTAGTTCAGTTTGACGTCTCTGCAGCCAGGTGTGGAAACAGGTCGAGCTCTTTTTTTTTTTTTTTTTTTAAATTCGCGTTCCTCCGCTGACAGCCGTTGTTGTGCTCTGCCGCAGATTTTCGAGGGGGTGGTGAACCTGCTGGACAGGTTGCAGGCCTGGCACAGCACCCCTGGCAGTCCAGGAAACACGGAGCTGAAGGAGATGGCTCAGATCGGCCTGCGGATCATCATGGAGTACATCCAGCAGCGGAACTCACAGGTCTGCCGCTCCCACACCTCCAAGCTGTCAATCACGCCGACTGGAAATGTCAAATCACAAACCTGCAGGAGATATTCTTTAGAAAAAAACATATATATAGAGAGAGATTTATTTCACTTGATAAGTGAGCTGAGATAAAGAGAGCGCTGAAATACCAGACCTTCTATGGGTCTCTTTGTGAAGACATTGCAGTCATTCCTGTTGGGGAGTGTTTCTGTATGAAAGGGCAGCTCAACTCTGAGTTATGACTCCTGCTGCTGCAGGAGATCTGCGGGATAAAAGTAAGAAGTGATAAATTAAAGAGCCCTCAGGCTTTCCATCACGCGCTGCTGCTTTCGGTTCATCCCCAAACGTGCGCAGCTCCTCCTAAAGCCGAGTGCTTTTTGAGCCGTCGGGAGAGATAAACAGGTTCTTTACAGCTGCAGCTGTGAGGAGCGACAGTTCAGAGGAGACAAATACATCAAATGTGTTTGATGGCAGGGATATCACAGGCTTGCACCTTCAAATTCTATATTTAGAGGAAAATGTTTGACATTTTTTTTACTTTGAGCTTTGTTTACATTGAGTGCGTACCCACATTTCAGAATAAAGTGGGGAAAATAAGTATTTAGTCAGTCACCAATTGTGCAAGTT